AAAATATACGTTTTTTTAAGTAAAATCAATAAGTCGTTCAGGTTTTAAGATAATTAAATGTGATACTGATAGTCGTGGATATTGAGGTCAGGGTTGTTGGGACCTCGGAAATTAAAAAATTTTGACTTTGTGTTATGTTCCATTTGTTTTTCCTTCTTGAAACTCAGAAATTCAGACTTCCAGGCTGAAATGAAACGGACCAGGAATCTGATCAGACTGACGAGCTAACGGCTAGTCCAGCAGAGACAAACTGTATCACTGCCATCTTAAAACCACTCCATCCATTATCTTTATCCGCTTCTTCCTTTTCACGTTGCAGGGGTCACTGGTTCCCATATCCAGCTACCACAGTGCGAAAGGCAGGGGACACCTGGACAGGTCTCCAGTCCATCACAGGGACACATAGAGACAAACGAGACAAACAACTCTCACTCACACCTAGGGACAATTCAGAGTTACCAATCAGCCTAACATGCATGTTTTTGGTCTGTGGGAGGAAACTGGAGTACCTGGAGAAAACCCACGCATGAACGGAGAGAACATGCAAACTCCACCCAGAAAATTCCCGTGCTGGGATTTGAACCAGTGACCTTTTCGCTGAGTGGCAACTGCTCTGCCAACTGCACCACTGTGCCGCCCTTAAACCCTTTAAAAACACGACTGCACTTCAGAACACGGTTGTTGTTGCATTAACGGTTGTTTAGTCCTAAACATGTTAGTGCTGCTAGAACCCCAGGCTGCACCAGAAGTGCTACAGCTGGCTGCTGATGCTGCTGCTTGCACTTGGTTTCTACTCCGACTAGCCCTCAGCTCATTAATCCGGTTAAAGTTAAACTCGGTTTCTCCAGACCGAGGCCATTTAAAGAGCCATCTAGAACTAGTAAGAGCATTACTTATTTAGAAGCTTTTTAGAGAAAACCCGTCCAAAGGATCTGAATTATCCCTTTAACTTGGTGCTAATGGACACACACACACACACACACACACACACACACACACTGTATACAGTACACACACTCTGCTGTCCTGCTGTGTGTCTCATAAGCGGGCCTTTTCTTTCCAGCGCTGCTGCTACGTGATCCGAGTGGCCGGTCAGTCCGTGTCATGTTGCTGCCTCCACAGAGCGCCGCTTCATTTACACATAAAATATTGATGGTCCTAATTTAACCCCCAGCCTGCTCAGGTGTCTCTTATGTGGGAGGGGGAGGGGGGAGGCCTTTTCCAAGGAACCTACACCCCCGTTAGTGATAAAACCACACCCTCTTCGTCCTGCGTTTCCCTCAGAGGGTGTGTTTTCGTGCGCGTCAGCAGCTACCTGCAGAAATGTTTTTCTGTTAAGCGTGAGCGTCGCACGACACGTGTCACATGTCTCCTGGCAGCTCGTGTTTAGGCAACACATGACGTATTTCTGGGTTTTTCTTTGAATGTACTCAAACCATGCAGCCCAGAAACTGCACTGATCTAGATTCTGCTTCAAAAAATATTACATTTTAACACTCAGAACATAATAAACAAGCTTTTTTTACTGTAAACAAACTAACATGCATTACAGATTGTTTACGTGGTGAATTGTTTCAAATGGTCTAGTTTCATAAAACTCCCCTCACTTTTTACAGACGTTCATGTGTATTCCTGACATGCGGGTCCACGCTCAACGTAAACAAAGCACCCGAAGAACTGGCTTCAATTAACATCGGACTTCTGGATCCCAAATGGTTTTCCTGTACACATCATCTTTCCATCCATCTATCTATCCATCCATCTATCTATCCATCCATGTATAGATAGATAGCCCAAGTTGTTATCAACGCTCCGTTCAGAAGCCTGCATCACTGATGGTATGGGGTTGCATGAGCGCTTGTGGCATGGGCAGCTTGCATGTCTGGAAAGGCACCATTAATGCAGAGAACTATGTTCAGGTTCTAGAACAACATATGCTCCCATCTAGACGTCTTCTCTTTCAGGGAAGACCCTGCATTTTTCAACACGATAATGCCAGACCACATTCTGCAGCAATCACAACATCATGGCTACGTAGGAGAAGGATCCGGATACTGAAATGGCCAGCCTGCAGTCCAGATCTTTCACCTATAGAGAACATTTGGCACATCATAAAGAGGAAGGTGCGACAAAGAAGGCCCAAGACGATTGAACAGTTAGAGGCCTGTATTAGACATGAATGGGAGAGCATTCCTATTTCTAAACTTGAGAAACTGGTCTCCTCTGTCCCCAGACATCTGTTGAGTGTTGTAAGAAGAATGGGGGATGCCACACAGTGGTACAAATGGACTTGTCCCAACTTTTTTAGAATTTGTTGACGACATGAAATTTGGAAACAACAGATTTTTCCCTTACAATGATACATTCTCTCAGTTTAAACATTTGATCTGTGATTTGTGTTCTATTCTGAATAAAATATTAGATGTTGGCAACACCACATCATTGCATTCAGTTTTTATTCACAATTTGTTTAGTGTCCCAACTTTTTTGGAATCTGGTTTGTGTATATATATATATATATATATATATATATATATATATATATATATACATATATACATATATATAATGTGCATTTTAGCTTATATTACAACCTTAAAATACTTATTCATTCAAATTCCTCCTGCTGCACCCTTATATTCAACCATGTTGTGATTTACTCTCCGTCTTTAGGATGTTGTAAATATTATACTTTTTCACTTTTTAGTACTTTCTTTTTGTACCCTTACTGCATGCTTTTAGTATTTCTTGTTTGTTCTTTGATTTTTTTTGTGAATCAGATTGGTTCTTCTCATCCTGAGCATTTCATTGTACCGTTAACCCTGTGTTAACCTGCATATGACAAATAAACACAACTTAAACTCTGTGTCCCCGTGATGGACTGGAGACCTGTCCAAGGTGTCCCTGCCTCTTGTACAGTGATGGCTGGATATGGGCACCAGTGACCCCCATGACCAGAAAAGGAAGAAGCAGGTAAAGATGATGGATTTACTTTTAAGAACTCAGCTCTGATCTGCACCTTCCTTCTACAGTTAGCTTCATTAGCATAACTTCATACAAACACTTCGATGCAAAAGAGCTTCAAGTGTTTCAAACTTGTTTTACATTTAGACTTTATTGTTTCTGAAGTGACCAGTGATTCTGCTCAAACCAGTTTCATTAGGGCTGGAAGTTATGTCAGCATGTGGTTGGTATCTAAGCCAAAGTTTTATCCTGGTTTACATACTACCTCACATTCAGGGGTTTTCTGTTAGCTCGTTTCTTTTCTGCAGCTCCTCTGACTTGTGGGGTCCCTCAAGGGTCTTTCTTGGCCCACTGCTTTTTAGTTTATAAATGTTGCCTTAGGAATCCAGTTTCTTTAGGAAACATCCTTGTCCCCTGCTTTGCTGATGATATCCAGATTTATGTTACTTTGACCACTCCAGTCGTCTACATGACATTATCGCCTGGAAAAAAAAAAAATCTGTATTTCAATGAAAACAAGCCTGAAGTCATCAGCTTTGGTAAATGTAGTGCTCCTGACACTCGTCCATTGTAAGTGGCAGGTGGTCCTATACTTGTACAGATGAGCGGTTGGTTCTTGGAACTGAAGCTGTCCAAGATCAGAAGCCCTTCTTTTTTGACAACAATGGACCCTGAAAATGAGGGAAAGAAACCTCAAGCCTCTGATCAGCTGGAACAGCACACCTGTCAACTAAAAGTATCACAGCTGCCATTGGCTCATCGATTGCTGCAGGGAGGAGTCAAGGATCTTTGGGCGTTTTTGTCTCATTTAAATTAAGGCCACATATTTGAACAAAGCTCACAAACTGTTTCTCCTCTCCCAGATCTTCGGAGCTAATGAGCGGATCTGATACGTTTCCTCTGGAGAGCAGAATTTCACCCGTGTGGTTTATTTTTGTCCTTTGGACATGCGAGTGTTGCTACGTGGGTGTTCTGCCTCTCCCCACATGCTCGTACAGTAAATGATGCAACTCTTACATTTTTGACATTTAGCTTAATAGCAGTGGAAGAGAACTCACTGCGTGTCCTGGACCATAATGTGAAATATAAAAAAATTAAACGTGCACACAGGAGTGTTGTGGCCTGATTTGCCTTACTAGGACAAGCCAACATGGAGTCACTGTGCAGGAGGGTTTATTCAAACTCCCACTTGTCTTTTCAAACTCTCCCCAGCATCCCAGTTACAGCATGCTCCTGTTGCTAAGCAACCAGCTGGGTCGTCTTAAGGGGGAACGAGAGCTGTCAGATGTGGAAGCGTACCCACGGCTGGATACTCCTGCCTCCCCTGTGGGCAGCGAGCAGCTCCACTCAGCACACGGAGTCCATCAGATTCGTTTTTTGACACGTGTGTTTCGCATAAAATAAGACATAAGACGTGATAAACTTCATGGTCTTTTATTTGAAAAAAAAAAAAAAAAAAAAAGTAATAATAAAGACTAGCATGTACAACTTGGAATGAATGTAAACTGAACTCAGACGAACGGCTGCGTGGTGCAGCGTGCTGCGAGCGCAGCGCACCCCTCACCGTTCGCTCGATCGTCTGAGTCGAAAAACAGAAGAGAAAGAAAAGTGAAGGCCAGTGATTCTCTCTCGCAAGAAAAGAGGACAGACACTCCATCTCAGCAAAGAAAAAACAAACAGAAGCTCACTGTAAGACTTTAACTCCTCCCCCTTTTTGTTTTTTTTTTTAGAAAAGAGGACAAACGATTACTAAGATGGCCGCCCAAATAACAAAAAACAAATAAAAACATGCTGAACGATTGAAAATGTATATTTTGTACATGTTTTTTCTCTTTATCTAGCATTCCACTTTAATGCTTAAAGTTTGAACCTGGTATGTTCTCTCATCTTAACAGTACAGGGCTCTCTGCAAATACAAAATCAAATAAAAATACTGTACCAAACCAACAAGAGGACAGCTTGGAGTGAAATCAGCACGCCCTGGAGGGCCGGGGGGGGGGGGGGGGGGGCGGGGTTTGGGGGATTGGGGGGGGGGGGGGGGGGTAGTGCTCCGGTCTCAAGCTGCATGCATGAAGAACAGAAAACAGAAAGAAGAGACGGCGAGCCCCGGACATTTACCACTAGCAAATGGAACTGGAAGGATTCGCCAAATGCTTCGAGTCTGAAGGTTACAGGGATCGTTATCTTTACTGATGCTAAACTGATCTTTGGGGGGAGAGGGGGATCACTAACCATTTTTCATGCAGACATTTTTTGTACATTTTTATATATTTTCTGTGTGGACAGAAGGATATTTCAACATTCAATTATTTTCTATACAGAAACAGTATGAATAAATGAACTTTTTTTTTTTCAAGAGGTAAGTAAAACATTTTTTTTTTATTCATTTTTAATCTTTTTCTTCTAAGAGGGGCGGGATGGGGCAGGCAAGCTTCACTTCGCAGTCATCATCTGTACAAACTCTGCAGAGACACGGAGACAGAGAGGACAGTGAGGTCAGTGGGTTCACCTGCTGCATGGTTTAACTCTTGATTCAGTTTTTAATCAAGCCCAGCGCTCACAACAAACAACTACTGCCACTCTTCTCCAAACACCGTCCATTCAGCTCATTAAACCCGCTTGATTAAAAAGGCTTGATGCACGAGCTGGAAGTAGGAAAGTGTCTGCAGCTACAGGAGGGGTGGTCTGTAGACTGCAGTCTGTGCAGACCTCTGGTCCTGATGCTGCAGCTCTCATTGCAACATTAAATAAATGGGGGGCAGAGCTCGTGGTCCTCAGAGGAATACAAAGCTTAGAAAACATCCTCCTCTCCACCTCTGGCCTAGAAGTTAAAGCCATTACAGCCCCGCCCGGCAGGGGTTCATCTTTACCTTCGTAGTTGACCTGTCCGTCCCCGTCAATGTCCGCTTCCCTGATCATCTCATCCACCTCCTCATCTGTAAGCTTCTCCCCCAGGTTCGTCATGACGTGACGGAGCTCCGCAGCGCTGATGTAGCCGTTCCCGTCCTGGAAACAGGTGGGATCAAACGAGTTCAATGACAACTCGTTGGACGAGTCTAGTCCAGTCTGGTGTAAGACGACGTGAGTCATCTCACCTTCATGTTATTTTTAGTAAATCAAGGTGAACCAGGTGCCTAAATGCTCAACATAAAGAAACCAGGGCTGCACGATGATGAAAGAACAAGTGTTATGTCAGCTGAGGGGGGGCACACCTGAACACCAAATTAACATTTCTGAAACCGTTTGTGTTCAGTAATAATGCTCATAATTAATGGATCATTTGTTATTCTTTCAGCTGCCCCCTCCTTCAGGGGTCACCAGTGAACCAACTCACACAAAGACTGTTGTTTTTACTCTGGATGGACCACCGAGCTACCACAGCCCTCTGTGTGGAGCAGAGAGCTGCCATCTTGGGCAACCGGGGGAGCAGATGGTGGGGGTTAAGGGCCTTGCTCAAGGGTCCAGAGTGGGACAAATGAGGGTGGAGGCAGGTGTGCGCTTCACCTTTCCCACCCACATTTTGTGATCGGTACGGGGAGTCAAACAGGTGACCTTGCAGTCACAGGTTCACCTTCTCCAACCTCTGCACCACCACTCCCCCACAATAATTTTATACTGACCAGCCTTAAATCAAACTACAACTAAAGCTGTGAACGTAAACAACCCGACACAAACGAAGCTTCTGTTAATATTCGGCAGGAAATGCGTCCATTCTGCTGAAACTGAGTGTAAATGCTGTGAACATTTTAGGGGAACTGGAACAAAATCCTGATTTTCATTCCATTTAATGGAGAACGTTCATGACACAAATCCCTGTTTGTTTCCAGAAGTTGTGCTTTAGTTTATTCACGATGTGAAGTCTTCATTTACCTTGTCAAATACTCGGAAGGCTTCACGGATCTCCTCCTCGCTGTCCGTGTCCTTCATTTTTCTGGCCATCATAGTGAGGAACTCTGGGAAGTCGATGGTTCCGTTACCTGCAACAGGCGATTAATGAGACCCATTTAAATCAGTGCATTCACTGTAAACACCAAGTCCCATCAGCAGATAATACAAACCAGCACTTAGTGGATGAAAAGCACCAGCTGAAAACGCTCTGACCCCCCCCCAATGACTAATATTTTCATAATGACCGTTTTGTTTCTCATGAGTTTAGGGCAACTTGAGACGCTGTGAGGGGAGGAGCCCTCAAACTGTTCACCTCCATTCTTGTGACAAACAGCGGGTGCAGACTGACGGGGGTGTTCCTCAGGGAAGCCCAGAGAAAATCTCCCACATTCTCCGTAAAGCAGCAGGACTGCAGAGAGGAGACCCTCATGGCCAGTCACCCATAATGTAGACATTCAGTTTACAGGTCAGCTGGCCCTTCAGGGCCCTGAATGAACCACGCTCCTCTTTCTGCTGGTCCAGAGGGGAAATGGAAGCTGGAGAACACAAGAGAACGAGGAGGAGGAGGAGGAGGAGGGACGGGGCACTTCAACCAGATGCGACATCTCTCATACACAAAAATACATCCTTAAATCTTTGTTTCTTGTTCTCAATTCCTGCCTCATGTCCATTCACAGGTGGCACAGATGCTCAGCGCTCCATGAGCGTGGGCTATAGGATCAATATCCACGTAGCCGTTATCACAACAGGATTAAGAGGATCAGATCTTCTTGAAAGTGGAAGGATCTGCGAGGCTGCTCACCTGCTCCTCGGCAGAGTGCAGCTCTGCTTCTGGAGAGCCAGACCTTTACGTGACCGGGTGAAAACACGACAAGAAAAGGCGTAGTATTGGAAAACAGGTCAGGGGGCACCGAGGGTGAAAGCCCTGCGAGGATTAGCCCCGTGGTGGGATTGCAGGCAGATTAACCAATGAGAGCGTACGCCTTAGAAAGGCAGATAAAGAGCCGACGAGAGAGTGGATGTGTGTTGGGAAAGGGAGAAAGAGACGCAGCGATGGGGCAGATGGTGATCTCATGGCCAGAGGTAACAGAGTAAGGAGCTGTTATCTAACGCAGAAACATCCAGCAGCGTCAAGGAAACACATGCTGCCACTGGGAAAAAACAATCTGAAACGATTGGGGGGAGGGGGGGTAACGCTTGAGTGAGGAAGGATGAAGGAGAAAACTGTGGAAGAGAAAAAAATATACATATAAAGAGGACGGAAGGAAGTGAGTGGGAGGCAGAGAGGGAGATGTGAAGAGAATGAGGAGTGAAGCGAGTGGGAGATGGTGCGATCACAGAAGAGGTGCTGACGTCAACTATAGACAGCTGAAGTGTCCCGGCGCTCTCGTACGGGCGGTCATCGCTTTATTCCCACATCATAACCTCCATCCTGGAGCTCACAGAGGAGCGGGGTTGTGTAATTATGGAGGGCAGACGTGGCTTTATCTCGTCAGAGACAAAACGAGAATAAAGCCAATGCATCGTGGGGGTACAGAGCAGGAAGCTGAGAACTTCCAGCAGCTTTCGGTCTGAACCCGCTCCTGCACCCATTTCAATTCTTCGCCCCAGCGTCCATGTTTGGTAAATAAAGCAGATTTTTTACAGGCCAGCTGACGTCCAATGGCTGCTGATGTGGGTACTGGATGTGCAGAGCACAGAGGTCTTATGTAACCACTTTTATTTTCCATTACTAGCTTCATTTCTGTCTGACCTAGATTGCATCAGCCAAGGGAGGCAGAGGCAGAACAAGGGAATGTTAGTGATTGTGTGTGTGTGGAGGGGGGGCAGTAGGGATGGGGACAGGATCGTCTGCTAAAGGGGCAACCAAACTGTGCTGTGATTGATTTCTACTGATCAATGTGGTCCCATTACAAAATCCTATCAGCTGAAAGAGCAGCACATTCATCCGACAGCGAACATCCAAGGGCGTTTGTGTGTGAGCAACTTTGTGGCTTCAGCTTCTTGTTCTGAAACAACAAGACACCAGAACACAGGAGCGACTAACGGGGGCTCAGCAACACCGAGGCTTGTTGTGAAACGTCCAGCTGCTCATCCATAACTCTGTCAACAGCCATGGAGCTGAACACACACTCTGAACTGCTGACACACAGATACGTCATCAGACAGTAACGCTGGCCAGCCTCGCAGTTGGCAGAAAGAAAATGGAGGGAGCTGGGCGACAAGAACCGCTCATGCGTTTAGAGACGGGACAATAATGGACGCTCCAGATAATCCCATGTGATTGTATCGGGGGCTTTAACACCAAAGTCATGCAGTGGCATGAAATCAGGGTCATAATCCCAACACACACACACACACACACACACACACACACACACACACACACACACAATTGTTTAACACTCCTGTTTTTTGTCAAGAAAATTGGGTTATGCTTGTTATTATTTATGTCCTGTTGCCAGTCATTTTGTTGATTAAAAACAGGAGAGGATCATATTAACCTAAATTTTAAAAAACTTTTACCCCACCCTGCCTTGTAACAGCCGAGTAATGTAATGAAATCGGGGAGGGGGGGGGGGGGGGGGGCAATCGCTTCCATTGACATTTTACGTACTCTTCGACTCTCTGCACAGAAAACCCAGTACTGGGGTGTGTGTTGGGGTACGTCTATATTTAGATGTGACATGGAAGATTCAGAATTGATTTTCAAATGTCAAACATCAGCAGCACGGTGGAGCAGTTGGTAGAGCTGCTGCCTCTGAGCAAGGAGGTCGCCCGGGTTCAAATCCCGACCAGGTGTCTTTCTGGGTGGAGTTTGCACGTTCTCTCTGTGCATGCGTGGGTTTTTACTCCTGTTTCCTCCCACAGCCCAAAAACATGCATGTTAGACTGATTGGTAACTCTAAACCATGTGTGTCAAACTCAAGACCCAGGATCCAAATGTTGCCCTCCTTAACATCTTATCTGGCCCCCAAGATGTTATTTTAAATGTAAAATGCTTTTATTACTTTAATTGTTTTCAGTAATCTTTGGTTATGATGTCAAAAATGCAACAGAAAACATCAAATGAGACTAATCAAACTCTTGAGGAACCTGCAACCAAGAAAAGAGGTTTAGTATCCAACTTGACTTAATGTAGATTCTGAAACTGGCCCTTAGTTTGAAAAAGGTTTTAATTTTGACCCTCTTTTGTAAATGGGTTTTACGCCCCTGCTCTAAACTGTCCCCATGACAGACTGGAGACCTGTCCACAGAGTGTCCCATGCCTCTCGCACAGTGACTGCTGGATATGGACACCAGTGACCCTCGCGACCCGAAAAGGAAGACGTGGGTAAAGATGATGGATGGATGTCAGAAATCTAATTTACCCACGTCCCTTTGCGCAGCCACTTAAAGCGAGTCAGCAGAAGTCACTGGTGGAGCCATTTGTCCCAGCAGTTACCGCTGCTTCCTGTAGTGAAGTGTGTTGCAGTAAAGTTCTTCTCCCATTATTTTCCTGAACCCAGAGTATGTTAGTAAATATTAGCTGAAGTTACACTAATGTGACTATTTGTAGTAATGACTAAAACGATTGATGACCATGATGCTAGCTGCATTAGCTTTCCTCTGGTGTTTTCCATGGCAAGTTAGCATCTATGCTAACTGTTGGTCAGCAGCAGGACATCTTTTGTGCACTTTTTATTATGAGGCATGAAAATATATATTTGTTTACATAAAATCAGACAATCAAAATGCACCAACAAGTGTTTAATAAGCACGTCACAGCCCTCTGACTTGTACTGTCACAGAACAAACAAGCGCACTGACCGTCAGCATCCACCTCGTTTATCATGTCCTGCAGCTCGGCCTCTGTGGGGTTCTGGCCCAGCGACCTCATCACGGTGCCCAGCTCTTTGGTGGTGATGGTTCCATCGCCATCCTTGTCAAATAAGGAGAAAGCCTCCTTGAACTCTGCAGGGGTGAAGGACGAAGGAGAGCGGCGTTAAACTGCTGCAGTGCCACAACACGGGCAGGTGATACTGACGCGCTGAGGGACCAATTGACTTCTGCTAGCAATGTGACCACACCGGGGGGTGAATTTGTTTGGGTCTGTTAGGACAAAGGACCACCTCGTGGGAGTTACCTCAACAAAACAGGCAAAAACAAAAAAAGCAAACAATATTTAACTTGTTTTTTCCAGGATGAATCTTCACAACAAAACGAGGAACATCTTTGGGGTCTTAGCACGAGCCAATTCCCCACAGAGGGGCTGAGAAGAAGCAGGAGCTTCCAGTTTTAGACCAGCCCACATGGTTTTTATATAACCAACAGAAAGGTGCCTCTGTGATACGAACAGCTCCTAAACTTGGCTGGAAAACCGTGCATTTATTGAGGCTTTGTAGGTTTCAGCCCTGACTCATGTGAATACTTCATCCCCTTCTCAGTTTGAAATGCTAACGACTTGCTGAGGGGGTGGGGGGGGGCCGCCAAATCCTTGACCGTTCGGTTTCACTTCACGTGACTTGCCAGAACACGGCTAACGAGGCAGTTGGACAACTTTACTGAACAACGCTGCGTGGATATAATCCACAACCATCACAGAGAGCAAAGGTCAGGACTGGTTAGAGGGAGGGGATGGGATGGGGGGGGGTATATTACCTGCAATTTGCTCCTCTGTTAGTTGGTCAGCCTGTAATTAGACAGAGAGGCAGAACAAACAAGTTACTCCAGTTTTAGACATCAACATGTTTAGGTGTTTCATCAATACATTCCTCAACAAATTCCCCCTCAGATCCCAGTCCAGACAGAACTGGTTTTTAGCTCTTCGTTAGGATGAGGAAAACACAGAGCAAAGATGATGCTCCAAACCAACATCTTTACCTAGGATTAGGCATCACGATAAATTCTGCTGGCCGATTGTCTCAGAAATTATTGCGATGAACGATAATATTGTTTGGAATTTGACAATAATTAGTAATTACTGTCAAATTTAAGAAGAATTGTTGGTTAATTTGTCTGTGTAGTACTTCTTTTGACCACTAGATGGCAGTATAAGACGGAACTGAAGGATGGATAGTGAGAGCGAGCAGCGTGTCTTTAAGAAAAATGGGAGGCCTCTTGACGTGACATGGACTGTCTCTCGTTCACGTTTTATGGTTTTCAAAATGGTGAACGATCCGTGTGGTTTGAGCTCTTTAGCATAGCATTTCTCTCACACAGCGTTTAATAAAAAAAAATTAAAAAAAATCAGTAAAGTTCTTAGCTTCTTTTTGCAGAGAAAAACTTTACACTAAAAAGGTACAGATTTCGACTGTGAATTTTGGAGCTTTGACAAAACAGAGGCCCCCCCCCCCCGATGTCTGCCTGCTAGCTTAGCTGCTTTTAACGATCCAAAAACACAATTTTGGATGGTTAAAACAGATTTTAAAGAGAAAGGGAGGGGTCAGTGAAGAGCACCAGAGTTGAGCCTTTTGTCATCCAGTGTCTTCAGTAGAAAGAGAGAGACGAAGAAATGATAAAGCTGATAAATGAAAATGAGGTAGATCATTTTAATTTATCATGCGATTAATTGATTTATCGCGACAGGCCTACCCAGGATTCACAGCGAACCCAGCTGTGTCTGTTTTAGCTCTCCACACCTCGCCTCTCCAGTCTGCCATAAAGCAATAAATGATGCAGAGAATCTTATCGCATTTGACAGAACATGAAGTCGGCGCCTTATCCGAAGGGTTCGTTTAATAGGCTGCTGCGAAGATAAGCTCCACTGAACTTTACCTTTCGGTTCAGACTTGCACCAAACGCGTATTCCACTGTACAGGAGAGCGGGAATAAAAGAGGGCGAGAGACCGCTTCCAGACCAGTGTGGCTAAACACGGCCCTGTTGGACCAGTGCAGTTTGGCCGCCCTGCTCCTTTTAACTAGCTTTGGCGGCAGTGACTCACACGGGCTTTAAATGGTTTGGAGGCAAGTATCCAAGCCTCCCTAAGAAACAGGATTTCACTTTAATCCAACAACTTCAGCTGTAAAGTGTGAATACGGAGCTCCTGGTCCAAATAACTCCCATCCACGTCTTAGAAAAGGTTTTTTTATTATCCTTGTTAACAGAGCTTGCTGACATCACTGTACTTGGCAGCAGAAAGGGAACACACACACGCCCTTAATGGCGATCTTCCTCCACACCAATACTTTCCATCTTTGTGTTTCGTGAGAATGAGTCAGAGTTATGCTCCGAGGCGAGCCGTCCTCGAGTCCTTCACCTTGTTTCTGTGTTTATAAGAAAACTCCTCCCTGAATCGTGCGTCTGTCAGAAGTCCGTGTTTGGGAGGCGGGGGTTGCTACAATTAGTCAAATTAAGCCAGCAAATTGCATTTGTTGCAGAAGAACAAGATTAGTTTAAACTAAATTGACATTTAGCAGATGACCACAAGACAACGGTTCTTTTTGTTTTAAACATAAAAAAGTCTTTCCCCGTGGCTCGGATCGATTGGAGGAAGTGAGGGCCGTTGGTGGAAAGATCCAATGACCTGATTTGATAACCTGAACGCCACAGAGCGGGGGCTGCCTCCATTTTCACTGCGTCTCAGAGCAGCCCCACCGGTGCAGGTATTCGGATCGGCTCAAACTGATGCATATTTCCACCTCTCTTCCTCCGTCTCTTGTGAGTCACTCGTTCTGTCCTGCTGTGTCACTCCTGCCTCCCCTCCCCACAAAGGGTGTGGAAGTTGGTGACTCAGTGCTATGGATCCTCTCCTGGCTTCGGCCTAGCTGCTCAGGCCTTCTGGTGCACAATCCTCCCCCTGTCCAACTAAACTTCAGAGCTCTCCTCTCAGCGTGACTCCTCTCTGAAAACACGACAAACCGCTGAGCACCTCCCTGTGATCCACCGGGGGCAGACATGCTCTCTGCAGGGCTTTGAGACTAATAAAACAGCTTGTAGGAGTGTCTCTGTGTGGACGGAGACATGGATCAACCACGTTGCCTGGACAACAGACTGGACATTAGGAGGCAGGAGGACTAGACTTTGCCCCTCCCTGTCCACAAAGTGTAATTATATAGGAGTTGCTCAATGAAAGTGAACTCCAACGCAGATCTTCTTCCTTAATAACGCTTATTTAAAGTTTAATGTGTTGTTTTTGTGTTTCTCTGCAGCGTCACCATAGCGACCGTGCAGCTGTCACTCTGACGGGTGTGACACACACGCGTGTCCACACACACCCTAACAACGAGCACAAAGGCGTAGTGTGAAGAGTGCCACGGAGCCGAACCCCTCGTCGACTTAGACAAGACAGGACCAGAGCCCATGGAGCGGGTGTAAACACTGCGCTCCCAACACGACCAGCTCGCCATATGGCCAACGGTGGCAGGCGACCGGGTGCTCCCCCTAACCCCCACACGGGACACAACCGCCCTGAGACGGCAGCGAGGTGTTGCCATGAATTATTCACCGAAGCGGCTCAGATGTGCCTCAAGTTACTAAACATGCATCAGCAAACAGGAGAGGAACAGGATAGGGGCCTTGGGTCGGCCCTACTTATTCGATACTTCCAACTCAATGTGGGGGGAGGGGGGCCGTTTCTGCCTCAGTGGGCCCATTGCAGCAGACAAGGGGCGTACTGCCGTGGATTAAGCCCTTTCAGAGATGACGGTGGGCAAAGCGAGCTCCACAATTCCACTTTACACTCCAATTACCGCGGCGTGGTGCAACATGACACTGGACCGTAGCTTGATACCATATGTGGGTTATTTGATCACAGCAGAGGAGGGGGGGAGGAGGGGGGAGAGCTTCTGACTCCCTCAGGCTGAGACTTCTCATCCAGAACATTTCCACTGGGCGACTTCTTCCTGTGTGACGTGGGGAGCTGGTGGAGAGACTCCACCATGAAACGTCCTGCAAGTCACCAGGCCTGCCCAGACCTGAAGGAAATGTAGTCTGCAACAAAGACTTGGAAACAGCTGGATCATCTGTGTGTGTGTGTGTGTATATATGTATGTGTGTGTGTGTGTGTGTGTGTGTGTGGGGGGGGGGGTTGTTGTTAACCAGTCAGTTGTGATCTTTCATGTCTTTGCTGTGACCAGAGCCACAAAGAGCTCCTTGGACCAGCCGCACTGCTGCTACATTTGCATGACATCGAAAAAAAAATAAATTGCAAATAGGCAACCAAATGAGTCCGTATCGATAACCAGCCTGGCCGTGATATGAAAAGCCTTGAGGCGGGACTGACCCGGTCCAGATGGGACCAACAGAACCGGCACGCAGAGTATGGTCAGTTCCCGTGCTCAACACGGTGCAACCCAGAAGCAAAAAGGGAAATTAAACCCGCTCGGTTCGATCATAAACCCAGGCGCCATGATGCGCGGGGGGAGGGGGGGGGTGTACACGCAGAGAAACGTGCACTAACATACAGAACATGTCGGGGTTGGGCTTCAGCTCCAAAAGGCGGTGAATAAACGCAGCCCGGTTCTTTCCCCAGCTAACTCAACAGGAGCCCTACTTCTTGCGTTCCCGAGCCGAAGCACCACGACGTCGCCGCCGGGAATAAACCGCTCGCGCTACGCAGTTGTGGGGCATGTGCTCCGTCCCTAATGTGCCGCTTTCGGACATAAATGCGCCAAATTGAACAAAATGGCCCCTCGGTAAAGCGTCGTGTCGTTGCTTTTATTAAAACGGTAAAACGAACGCGTTTCGCGGGCGTTTTCTGCCTCCGCCAGCCTGTAGGAATCAATGAACTGAGCGGAAAAGACGTGTTTTAAAAAAACTCCGGCCGCTTCCAGCACACACAGGTCGGTGAAATAAAACGCTACATTCGCTGAAAAGGCGAAGAATGAAAGCGCATACGTACCATTTCGGACGGGTTGTGTGCTTGTTGGTCTGTGGCGGCAGACTCGGAGTGCGTCGATCCTTAGATGGAGTTCCACTGGCGGCTTGTAGGACTGTGTATATCCGCCGTGGACAGAGCGGGGAGGGAGGGGGCAGTCTGTGTATCCCTCCGCCGCATGAGCACGTATCACTCACTTCCTTATTTCAACTGGGGCAGGTCTGCAACAGTCTGCAGTGCATGTGGCCGACACAGTTCAATATTAGCAACACTGTCCTGCTCTGATGCGCTTTTCATGATTCACATTAACATAAAAGTGTTGGGCAAGTAACAGGAGCTGTTATATCCAACTTCTATGAGTCATTTCTTACAATAAACAGCTCTGACTCGTTTTAGGTCCCAAATTAAAAGTCAAACTGTTTGCGGCTACAATCACTTCATGGAGGCAAAATCTTACACTTTTGATCATTTCTCTACTTGTTCTTGTAGTGGGTATTGTAACAAAAGTCAATATATTGCAGATATTATAGGCAAGTAAGATCAAGTAGAAATAAAGCGGCAAAATAAAGTTACATCCTGATCATCTGGCAACAAAATCTGTCTGAACTGCATGATTTGTTCAACAAACTGTCTGATATGTCTTTTAGTGAATGTTTAAATCTGTAAAAAGTGTAAAAAAATCTATTTGTCCAAAGCCTGACACTACAACCTCATTTAATGTGTTAAAATATAGGTACTTTTAAATTAAACGCCTTAAATCCCAGATAAACTCAGAGTTGTTTCAAGTTCACCCCTTAGATACAAAAAGTTTTTATTTTATTTGATCATGTAACTTGAACTCCAACAGTCTCCCTGGATGGAGAGCTTTAACTTCAGAACATGAACTTTAGTTATAAAATGAACATATTAAAATAAATAAAGCATCCATCAATCACTCGGGCGTTTTGCATCACTGTTCTGGAAAGCGCTCAGTTTGCTGACACGGGGCACTAGTTTGCCGCCGCGGAGGGATACCCGATGTGGTAGACGCTGGAGAATTTGCGGCGGCTCGTATGAAACAGCGTTTCTGATTGGTCGCTTCGGACCCGCAATATTATGTGTCGGCCGCGTCGATTGGCTGCACGGGACCTGCATTGCACCAGGCAGTGGCACTTGATGAAAACGTAATAAATATAAATACATGAATCTTAAAAAGCAGCGCGGCTTTTAGCGCTTAGTTCGCTCTGTTTTAGTGCGCACGCTTATTTGTAGCCTCTAATCATTAGTTTTCTGGATTGGGACGTGAATGCGACAGGTCTTCACGGGCAAATGTTTGATAGGCTCCATATGGGAAGTGCGCACATTTACCATTGGCTGCTCCAGAGGCTGGTGAAGCAGGGCAGGGTTACTTTTATTAAAGTGTGCACAACCTGAGGGTCTGCCTTCAGTTAACCTCACAGAAAGGAACAGCGAGTCTTTCTGCTGGGGAAAAGGACGCCATAACCTGGATTAGTTAGAATGACGGTGCAAAAATCTTGGCAAAGTAATGTCACAGTAGTCAGCACACACACAGAGCCCCAGTCTGATCAATGGTCTGACTAAAGCACCACCCAGTGGACAAAGTGGATCAATTATAAAGGGCTTACAGCAGCAACACACTTAATATGTTTAATGAAACGTGTGAAGCCTTCTTAAGTAGAAAACAAGCAGCTGAAAATGGTTTTGTACATCCTGAGATGACTACATGGCACAGTTACACTTTGCGTCTATTTCAGGAGAGCCGGTGATGCGCTGGTAACCAAACAAATATGTATAAAACTTAATTTTTCATGTACTTTTTTAATGTAACATTTTAGGTGAGCTTATTGAAGCTCATTCTTTGAGTTGTTCCAGAAGGCCTCCCTTAACCCCCCCCAACAGACAGCGCCCACCGCCGAGCCACAGGGTGATGGTCCCCGTAGATGTGGACATGCTGGACGCCATACAGGAACTTGAATTTGCTGGGTTCAGTATCGCCACGGAGTGGTCCCCAGTGCAAGTTTTAAGTTCACTATGATCTTGCCCCATACCTTTAGTGCACAGAGTCTGGTTCCAAAAATACAACATGGCAGCTGCCATAAACGAGGTCCTACTGACTTCAGTTCCCAATGAGAAAAGGTACATTTGATCTAGTACTTAGGAGAATTTAGGTAAAGGTCATGGATGTTATCACTAACTAATATTAAATTAATGTTGAACCTGTGTGTGAGGTCAAGAGAGTCTTTTGTCTACTCAGAGAGGAGCCTGCAGGTGTACGGAGGAGCACCTGATAAATTCCAAGGCCTTCTCTGAGTCCGTAAGCTGAAAAGCCGAGATCGTCCTGACCTCGCCTCTGTCTGATAAGCGTGTATTATAAAGCACTTCCTGCCTCACTGTCCGGCGCAGATTCTTACTGACAAGACTCAAAGCATGTAACTTTTGTACATCTGTGAAAACTTCCTTGTGACCGTCTACCCTGGCAAGTAAAGACCGGTATAAAAATCTTCTCATGTCCTCAGAGTGGCTTATTTGAGTGAGCAGATGATGAAAGGGTATTTATTTATCTAACACTTACATGTCCATGATGGTTCCATGTAGCTGTGCCCAGCTGGACCCCTTTGTTCTAGAACAAAGAACCCGTAGAACAGGTGTTCTAGAATTGCACCACTCAGGGTGGCTGCATGTTGGAGTAGCTCTGTTACATTCATTCTGAGATGTTGCTTTTGGAAACTTTAATTCTTGCTTTTCTGGATGTAAATCACTTTTTTTGGACGATTATTTCCTCTGGTATCATATGCTGTACAGCTGGAAGGATTTTTACTGAAACTTTTTTTCCTTTTGGACATTTGTTGTAATGCGTAACCCTAACAACAGGGTGTTTTGTTTACAGCCAGGAGCAGCTGATTAACATCTCAAAAGCTCAAATAATAGCTCAGCTGAAAAGGTGGCTCTGTGGATGCATTCCCGTCTACCCGCCAGCTGTGCTCGAGTGCCTGACCACTGAGTGCCTAAGATCTCCTAGGGAGGTCCTGGAACTAGCAGGAAACATGGCTTGTGACAGCAGAAGGACCGGGATTGTCCCCCGGCACCTGCCTGTCTGTAGCAATGAGGAGCTTGGCGGGCTGCTGGGAGGAGTGGCTATAATTCTGGGAGTTCTGCCCGGCATTCGGGCGGTCCTGCAGCCCGGGGGAACTGAGAGGCCAGCCAAGTCCGGGTGGATGGATCGAACGTCATCTTCAGTAATCTTTGATTATGATGTCGAAATCACAACAGAGAACATCAAATGAGACCAATCAAACTCTTGTTGAGGAACCTGTGACCAAGAAAAGATGTCGGGTATCTGATTTGAGTTAATGTGATTCTGTAATTGGCCCTTAGTTTGAAAAGGGTTTTAATTTTGGCCCCATTTGTAAGTGAGTTTGACACCCCTGCTCTGGGGTGAGGCCTTGGTGTCCCTGGTCAGGGTGAGGTATAGCGATTCCTGGGTCTATTAGGGTGATCTAATCAATATTTATTTGGCCCCGTGGCCAGAAATAATTTACCCCGTTAGATGCCCCTACTTGGGGCAAAACCATCCTCAACATCCATAGAATGGCCTAGCCTTTATTTAACCAGACAAATCCCATTGAGATCATGGATCTCTTTTGCAAGGGAGGCCTGGGCCTGAAGGCAGACTAACATGCATGTTTTTGGTCTGTGGGAGGATACTGCAGTACCTGGATAAAACCCATGTAAGCACGAGAACATGCAAACTCTGCACAAAAAGACCCCCGTTCCAATCTGAGGATTGAACCCAGGAGCTTCTTGATGCGAGGCAACAGTGCTAACCACAAATCCATCGTGCTGCCAATTTGACTTAAGGTGCTTAAGTCAGGGTTTGGACTGGGCCCTTTAACTCCAGTGACCAGCAGTCTTGCCACTTCAGGACACAAAAACATATTTGGACAATGTTATGCTTTCTACTGGGGCAACTGTAGCTGAATGGTTAGAGCAGTAGTCATCCAATGGGAGAGTTGAGAGTTCAATTCCACCAATAGTCACATGTTGAAGTGTCCCCAGGGCAAGACACTGAACCCCTCATTGCCTCTGATGTGTGTCCCATCGGTGTATGAATGTGATAAATCTCAGGTTAGTACAGATTCCCATTATTAGCTTTGTAGCTAAGTCTTCGGTTAGAAATCTTGGGCTAACTTTTAACTCTTGTTTTACTCTGGAAAATCATGTCAAGTCTCTGGTTCGTTCCTGTTTCTACCATCTGCGTAACATCGCCAAACTTAGCCATATTGTTTCCCGTCCAGAAATGGAAATGTTAATTCATGCATTTGTTTCATCTCGCCTGGATTATTGTAATGCACTGTATGCATGTTTAAACAAAACCTCCCTAGACCGGTTGCAGTCTGTGCTAAATGCTGCGACTCGACTCCTGACGGGATCATCAAAGTATTGCCATGTAACACCACTTTTAAAACAACTGCATTGGCTCCCAGTTCAACATCGAGTGGATTTTAAGGTTTTGGTTTTAACCTGGAGAGCTTTACATGGTCAAACACCAAATTACATAACAGAACTTTTACATCCCTACACACCGATCAGAGCTCTGAGGTCCTGTGCTCAAGGCCTGCTGACTGTCCCCCAGACAAAATTGAAAACTAAAGGAGATGGAGCCTTTTCTTCCGTGGCTCCAAGACTCTGGAACTCTCTTCCTCAAACTCTCCGATCACTGGACTCAGTGATTTCTATTAAAGGTCAGCTAAAAACGTATCTTTTTAAATCTGCTTTTGAATTTGTTTTTTTGCTTTTGTTTATCTGATTTGTTGAAGCGTTTTGTGATTTTTATCTTGAGAAACGCTATATAAATAAAGTTTTACTTACTTACTAGAGATGTAGTAGAATGCTGTATGAATGGGTAAATGAGGGTGCGGGTTGTGTTGTAAAGCGCTTCTAGTATCTTGACTAGATAGAAAGGTGCTATATACTGTAAGTACAGTCAATTTACAATTTACTTTGTGGCAACACTTTGGGAAAATACCTCTTAATCTAGGATTAGCTGTACATCAGTGCACAAAGCAAAGCTATAAAGACATGGTTTGAGGAGTCTGGTGTCTTGGACTACCGAGCCTTAACCCCATCAAGCACCTTTG